GTAGCCTAGTTATTCATAGAGCTAAATGACTGTCAGTTATCTGTAGCCTAGGTTTTCATAAAGCTAAATGACTGTCAGTTATCTGTAGTCTAGGTATTCATAGAGCTAAATGGCTGTAGGTTATCTGTAGCCTAGGTACTCATAGAGCTAAATGGCTGTCAGTTATCTGTAGTCTAGGTATTCATAGAGCTAAATGGCTGTCAGTTATCTGTAGTCTAGGTACTCATAAAGCTAAATGACTGTCAGTTATCTGTAGCCTAGGTATTCATAGAGCTAAATGGCTGTAGGTTATCTGTAGCCTAGGTATTCATAGAGCTAAATGGCTGTCAGTTATCTGTAGTCTAGGTATTCATAGAGCTAAATGGCTGTCAGTTATCTGTAGCCTAGGTACTCATAAAGCTAAATGACTGTCAGTTATCTGTCTGTAGCCTAGGTATTCATAGAGCTAAATGGCTGTAGGTTATCTGTAGCCTAGGTATTCATAGAGCTAAATGGCTGTCAGTTATCTGTAGCCTAGGTATTCATAGAGCTAAATGGCTGTCAGTTATCTGTAGCCTAGGTACTCATAGAGCTAAATGGCTGTCAGTTATCTGTCTGTAGCCTAGGTATTCATAGAGCTAAATGGCTGTAGGTTATCTGTAGCCAAGGTATTCATAGAGCTGAATGGCTGTCAGTTATCTGTAACCCAGGTACTCAGAGCTAAATGGTTCTAAGTTATACATCATACCACATGATTCAAATAAAATGATTCAGAATGTAAATTCACCATTTGGAGGTATATAAAAATAAACTGCCACAACAGAATACATATTATTGTCAAGGTTATGAAATCTTTACATAACCATCAATATACTCACCTTTATCTACTGAATTAAATTTGACTTTTATAGCTGGTCGTCTTCTGATAGCAGTTTTCTCTGAATCAAACTTACATTGCAGTGGACTTCCATCATCATAGAAATCATCATTTTCCTCATCCTCCAATTCATCATTACTAGAACAATGCTCAGCATCAATTCCATTTGGCAAAGCATCAACTGGCAATGCATCGTTCACTATCCCAGTAGCAGGATCATCATTTGCATCACCTTCCTTATGTTCTTTCTCTAGCATCACATCATCCCTATAGTTGCCTAGCAACAGCTCAGTACTGTCACCAGATACTGACCTATGACCAACTTCCTCCTCTCCTATCAATTCAAGTTCATTGTCACTTTTCTTACTTTCTGGTTCAATCTCAATATTACTTAAAACATCCCTAACCTCCCTGTTATCACCAGTATCGTATTCCTTTTTCTTAATTTCAACTTGCTCATCGAATTCATGAAATTCTTTCTCACTATTGATTGGCAGTACTTTAGTAACAGGAAGATGCACCGACAGACTCTCATCAACAACTGCATCTTTTAACTCCACTACATGTCGATGATGAAAGTGTTCCTGTTCTGCATCACAATTTCCATCCCGTTCAGTAACAATACAATCCTTGTTGTCAATCATGAATGTTTGAATCGCACATTCTTTGATGTTCTTTTCTATAATAACTTCACTCTCAAGCAAAATTCTATCTTTTTCTTTAGGTCTATCATCTTGTATCATTTTACTTAAGTCTTCCATTTCAGATTTCAACTGATCAAGGTTCTCTGATTTATTTATTTTAATTTCATTATCCCTTTCAGATTCAACCTCAGCTAAGTACTTTTGTCTGAAAACATCTTCAACCTCCATGCTAATGTTCTGTACTTTTTCTTTTAAAACAGAGTCCAGCATACCACCTTCTTCCCTTTGTTTTTTTGCTGATACTTGTGCAGAACTACTTTTAACAGCATCTGTGTCACTCAACACTTTGCCATCTCCAGTTTGCACACCTACTGTAACGCTGATTTTCCGAGGGTTACTTAGAGAAATGCTTCTCTGCCTCACTGCATGAACAGGAGATGCATTTTCCTTGTCATACTGTGGCAATAAACCGAGTTGTCTCATTTCCTTAAACTGAAAAAATGATGGCAATTGGAATTTATCTTTCTCATACTTAAGTCTTGGTGACGGGGATTCACATCGTCCAGAAGTCAGAGCACCCCTGATAACCTCAACAATTGGCGATCTACATCCTCGGACATGACTTGGACTGACACGATTTGTTGGACCACCAACTGAAGGTAGACTTTTTACTGGTCCAATTGTCATGCTCCTTTCTTTGGACTTTTCTCTTCTAACTCTGTAGGATTCTAACACAAGAGACACAGCCGGTGGGAATAATCTTGTTGGGTGATCTGTTAATGGTCTGTTATTATTTGTGTCTTCTCGTCCTATATTGATGGGACTGACACTTCTAAAGCTGTGCTCAATTTTCTCATCAACTTTTTTATCTGTGAGTAATGGTATTTTTTTAGTTATAATTGGTGAAATGTCACTAACATAAGAAGCTTGAGTATCTCTAAGCGCATCTGAATTCTCATCAGACACCCTATCTTTGAGTTTATTTTCATCATACTCCCTAGACTGATCATGATCTGAATTGCATGACAAGCCTTTGATATTTGAGCGAGTGTCATCAGTTTTATTTTTGTTCCCAGAATCAACAAGTCGACCATTCCTTGGTACATCTGATCCACCATGAGTAACACGAGTAAATGCAGATTCAGATTCAAGCGATGAACTGCTATGGTCAGCATTTGAATCTTTTTCTCCCGATGTGCCATTAGGTATTCTACGTTTCCGTCTCCATTTTATTTTTCTTTCATTTTCCAAAGCAGCACCGGAATGTTGGGCTGACTGGCTAGATGTCTCATCACTAGAACTCATACTTTCTTTCCTTGCCATCACCTTGTCATCGTATGAGCCAAAACTGTCATTCTGGGATGGACTGCTTGTTCGACTATTGTTCCTGCTCTGATCGCGCAATCCCATAGTATGATACATTACTTCTGAGTCAACAGAATCTATTGAAATTCGGTGTATGTTTTCTTTCATAATATTTGTATGAGTTTCTGTATTTAGAACAATTACATCATCTTTATTAGTATATACATCATCAGCAGCAGTTATATCATTGGCATCTGAATTTATATCATTTTTATGACTAGTAGCAATATTTATATCACCGGTGATTGCATTTGTAACACAAGTGTCAGCATTTACATCATGGATATTTTCATTTATAACACCAATTTCTGTGTTTGAATTACTAGTATCTTCTATTATACCACTGGTTTCAGCATTTACATCACTGGCAACTGCATTTATATCACTGGTGTCAACATTTACATTACTAGTAACTGTGATTATGCTACTGGTGTCAGCATTTACATCACTAGTAACTGTGATTATACCACTGGTGTCAGCATTTACATCACTAGTAGCTGTAATTACACCACTGGTTTTAGCATTTATATCACTGGCAACTGCATTTATATCACTGGTTTCAGCATTTACATCACTAGTATCTGTGATTATACCATTGGTGTGATGAACTA